AGGTCATGAATATAAAAATTATACTCAAATTTCAATAATTATATACCATGTTTGTATACAAATATATAAAAACTTATAAAATAAAAACTTTCAATAATCTTCTGCAGCCCCTAATTTCTTTTAGGGCATCTGCATCGCCTATTCTTTTTTAGCTTTTTGATCATCTTGAAATAGTAAATGTCTATGATGTGCTCATGTATTTCAGTTCATGTCGTCATACCATCCATACCAAACAACTATGTCGTCACTTTAACGACAGATTTTGACCAATTCCATATGTGTGTACATATATATATATATAGACCTACATATTCTATTCTACCCATGTACGTATATATATATATATATATTCCTATATATTGTATAAGCTGCATGAAAGGAAGTGTAGAGAAAAGTACAAGGGGAAGAAGACGAATGATATGGAGCATCTACCAGAAGACTGTTTTTCATATGTATTATCTCTGACTTCTCCGATTGATGCAGGAAGAATTTCAGCGGTTTCCTCCGTGATTAAATCTGCAGCTGATTCAGACAAAGTGTGGGAGAAATTTCTGCCGTCTGATTATTATCAGATTATCACCAGACTGGTGTCTCCACCGCCTTGCTGCTCCTCCATGAAAGACTTGTTTCTCAGGTTATGTAACCCACAGTTAATTGATGGAGGTAAAAAGGTAAATAATAATTTGATTTCAACTGTAAGGATACGGTCACCAAATTTAACTTTGTGTGTATATATATATATGTATGTATGATTTCGTTAGTTTCCGGCAAAAGGGTGTTTAATTATTTGATGCACCGAGTAAGAGTAAGAGATCAGAAGAACAATGGCATATATGTGTGTATATATATATATATATATATATACACACATGTATGCCTGATGTTATCATCTGATCCATATACTCAAGTGTACCAAATTCAAAAACTGCCTCTGCTGAACTTTTAGAAGAAGGAAAGAAGAAGAAGAAGAAGAATGAGGAGGAAGATGCATTGTAGATATACATATATGTGTATATATATGTACATATATATATGTATATGTATATATGAGATAGTTTTTGTCAAGGATGCTTTAGCATACACAGGTGGTGGATCAAATATGGATTATTAATCTCCTGCTTTAAAAATTCATATTTGTTCTGCTCCCTGTGAATGCCAAAATGGACTTGAAAAAACTGTTCATAATTTTTCTTGCCTTCTTTTTTTTTTTTTTTTTTTTTTTTTCTGCCATTAAATTTTAAACAACTAAAATTCAAAGAATAAACACCCAAATTTAATATATATATATATATATGTTTTATATATTAAGTAGAGTTTTAAACTGAGTGTAAATTGTACTGTAAATTTTAAAATTATTATTAAAATAGTTGTTTATTAAAAGTATATTCTTTTAAAAAATTATTTGTTATTTATTAGAAATAATTATAAAAGTATTGTAATTTTAAAAATGGTTTTTAAAATTTTAAATAAAAATAAAAATTATTTTTTTAAAATTAATATATTATAACTTTTAACTTTAAAAATATCGAAATTATATTTTAATTTTAATTATTAAAAAAATACTGAATATTTTAAATATTTAATTATATAATTACTCTTAAAATACAAAAATTATATTAAACTGATTTTAAATAATATAATTAAATATTTCGTTTACGAATAACTATTCAGTTCAACGGTAAATAGTCTTTTTTTTTTGTCGAGACGATGAGTTCGAGTTAAACTGTTTTCTTATATATATCATTATTTAAAAATTATTTATATTATATTACAATTAATATTTATATATTTTTTATTAAATAAAATAAATATCTCATTTTACAATTAATCATGTAATGAGTTTGTAATTAACAGATGTTTAAGTTGGAAAAATCAAGCAAGAAGCTCTACATATTGAGCGCAAGGGAGCTTACAATCACATGGGCTAATAATCCTCTCTACTGGACATGGAAATCTGATCTTCTTCACTCAAGGTGACCTATGCTAATACCCTCTATGCATATACATACATACATATATATATATATATATATACCCTCTACCATAAAAATTTATGTATTTGAGTTGAACTGTGATCTCTTATATACTTATTTTGAGATTCTTGATTCTTATATCGGTTAATATTCAAGTATAATAAAAAGATAAGCTATAAAACTTATTGAAAAGATATCATTACACTAATTACACTTGATAATATCTGGTCTCATTTTTTCAGATTTGGAGAAGTTGCAGAGCTCAGAACAATTTGCTGGCTGGAAATCTATGGCAACATAAAAATTAAAATGCTTTCGCCGAGAACCCATTACACGGCTTATCTCATCGTCAAGTTCGCAAACCGGGCATTCGGACTAGACACGTTGCCGTCTCAGGTTTCAGTCGAGGTCGGCAACAAGATCAAGTCGCGGAGCACAGTTTACTTGCGTTGCAGTCGCCAAGAAAGCACGAAGCGGGTTCTGGAGACCATCATGTTCTTGAACCGAGTGAGTGCACTGAGATCGAGAGTAGTTGGTGCGGGAGGAGACGGTGGTGGGCGAGGAGTTGTTAGAGAGAGGGAAGATGGGTGGGTTGAGATTGAGCTTGGGAGGTTCTTCAATGGGGGCGGCGAGGAGGAGGAGGAGGAGGAGGAGGTGAAGATGTGTTTGAAGGAGGTGACCGGGGAGCATTTGAAAGGCGGTTTGATTGTTGAGGGCATTGAGCTTAGGCCTAATTAACAAGATTAATGGCCATTAAGAAAATAATTAATGGAGATAATTTTTTTTTTATTTTCTTTTTTTAGGAATATTTTTTATTTCCAATTATTAAAATTAAGTACATTATTTTCTCTAAATTTTTAATTTTAATCACTCTACTTAAATTCATATTTTTAATTAATTATATATATATATATCTATTCGTATTTTTATTATTTTTTTAAAATATAAAAATATTTTATTTAAATTGAAATGTCATCTTGAAAACTTCACTTATTTACCATTTTATTTAAATTTTTTTTATTTACATATAAATTTAAAAATTTATAGTCAAAAAAATTAATATATTTCAATAATTAAACAATATTCTACATAAATAACAACGTAATTAATTTTTTAATTAAAATAATACAATTAATTTATAATAAAAAATAATAAAATCGAAATCTAACGAAAACATAAAAAAAACTTATAATTTTATAGAAATAAATAAAAATATTAATTATTTTATTAAAGAGTAGTTAATAACGTATTGAATAAAATTAAAAAATAATTAAAAATTTAATTATTAATTTCGTTAAGAAATAAGAAATTTTTTATTTAAAAAAGTCAATTCCACCGACCATAACGTTGACTATAAATTTGAAGCCCAATTTCTCTACGAGCGGACCATTGAACCCAATTGAGCTTCCTCGAAAACCGACCCGGTCCGTTTTCTGATATACATTAATGTAATTAAGTTGAGAGGTTAGGGGCATAGTTGGAAACCAAAAAATTACTACCCGGCGCTAAAACCCTAACCCTAGTCTCTCCCTTTCCGTCCTTTATAAACCCTTTCTCTCTTCTAATTTTCAGTTCAGTTTGCGGTACTAAAATTGCTGGCCGGATTAGGGTAACTTTATTCGTACATGCATGTAATTGATTGCTCTTTATGTTTCGTTTTCTGCATTAGTATCCTATCTGAATCGTTCTCTGTATTTGTAAATCTCTGCTTATGATTTTCGATCGGTGATGATGATAAATGCTTTAATCCCAGCTCATTATGAGGCCTTTTTAACAAGGTCTAGGAATATACTCTGTTCCAACACATTTATCTGAGCCTTAAAGCAGCTATTCTTTTTTTTTTTTTCCCAATTTTAGGGAAAAATGTTTCTTTTTGTCAATTAAATTTTCTCTGCATTTATGTTTCTTTTTGGTTCTAATGCTAGTGTCTTCCATTTTGTATATATGGTTTTGCATAATTTTATTACATTGATTTCAATCTTGTTTTTTTTTTTCAGAGTTCTTCCCGGGGATGATTTGAATCAAAAACCATGCTAATGTATATCTGATAATATTTCATGATTGTAAATCTTGATTCTCTGAGGGGCCTAGATTTCACTTGTTCATTTGGAATTTGGCTTTGTTAGAATTTCATTTCATTGAGTTTGAAATTTACTGAAGAATTTTTTCTAATTAGTTTTCTGAAGGATGCTTGTTTGGGTGATTGGTTAAAAAAGGAAATAGTTCTGTAGGTTTAATGTTAGATAATTTGATTTGTGGTTGAGTATAAGACGTTCCCAATGATGTTTCAAGTGGAACCATGCTAATGCTGATACTTCCATGATTGAAACTTGTTTACTATTTCTTGCTTTTCTGAGGGAACTCTACTCTTTTTTTCTTTTATGGGTTTTTTTACTGAATGAAAATTGGATCCATCCCATGTCAGCTCACATGGATTAAGTCTGTTTCCATGATTGAAACTTGTTTCTATTTCTTGCTTTTGTTAGGAACTCTACTCCTTTTCTTTTCTGGGTATTTTTGCCGAATTCAAATTTGGTCATCCCTGTCAACCCATCTGGATTAAGTCTGTGTTTCAAACAGATACGTAACTTGTGTTGAATTCATTTGCAAGTCTAAAATTGCCGAATGTAAAAAAGGTGGAAGTCGTTTTCAAATCTGAATGGTTCGAGTTAGTAGAGACTCAAATTAAACATTTAGGATATGCAATGCTTACATTTCAAGAACACTTTCTAGTAAATTTCTGGTGGTAGTTGGAAGATTTCAATTAATTTTATTTATCATATTTTACCTCGAAAGGTAATTGAATCAGCGAATTGTTTCCCAGGTTCCTGACTTCTACTGAGTATTAGCCTTCAATTTGAAGAGCAGAATGGAACGTGTTTGATTCATGACATGATTATATTCGATAACAAGTGATTAGGAATTTGTTTGGATTTTCACGAGAAACCGCAGTATAATTGAGTCGAAAACAGAGTATAAGTTAGTCATTTGTACTTCGAGACACAACAATTAAGAAGTATCTAACATATCTTACTACTCTGCACCTAAAAATAACGTTGGTAGAGTTTTGTGATGGGACTTTGATTTTGTTCATGAGATTTTGTCCATTTTTTATGTTTGATTTCATAAGTTGATTAGATGTTAGATTTGTATCAAAACTTTTTGTTTTTTTATGAATATTTCATTTGATTCATCGATGGTGTGATGTGGGGGGCTCATCGAGCCACAAATTGAAGAGGCTTTCTCCATTAGATGGGGAAAGAACAGACAATTCTACTACTTTGTTTTCAAGATGGTGAAAGAACAGACTGCAAGTCTGTGTTCTGATTTAAAATTTCTCTTCCATTCATACGTTTTGTTTGATTGATACGAAAATTTTTGACCCTTTATTTCTATGAATATGTGTTTTGCTTCATGTTTTTGAAGTTTCCTTGTTGGAGAGCTACAAGACTCGTACATTACAGAATGGCTAGCTCCGAGTTTATGGCATAAATAATCAAAAGTCATGTGTTTCTGGTGGGTTAAGGGGTAACGGTTTCGAAATTTTAAAATGAAATATGTGTATTAAAAAGGTCAAATGCGGAAACGTAATAAAAATTTTGATTAACATACCTTATATCAAAATTAAAAACGTGCTCAAAGTATAAAAGAATAAATTAATTAAAAGAGAAACTAAAAAATAAAAGCTATAAAATAACTACGGAGTCTTCAGGCGTTTTCTTCGCCGTCTTCTTGCGGAACGGGTTCGGGAACAATTTCTTCTTGATCTGAAATGATTAAATAAGAAATGAGCTACAGCAGTCCAGTAAAGACATCACACTATTTCTCCGTTACGGAAGTAAAGGTGGGTAAAAAACACAAAAAGATCAATGTACCATAATTTACAATAAATTCTTTTATCAATAATAAAATCCTTTATCCACTTATCTCGGTGAAGTTCATAAAATAACATACGAAATCAATAATCAAAAGCCATGTGTCTCTGGTGGGCTAAGGTTTGAAAGATTTCAAGTGGTTGTCGACATTGTATACACATATATATATATATATATATATTATCCCATTTTTCATATCCTCTCCCATTTAAAAAGCTTGTTTCTTTGCCACTTGCTCTTATTTTGGGTAAGAATCTTTCTCTATGTAAAGTGGTTGAACGCACCCAAAGTATCCATTTTGAATTACTTGGAATCTACAAGACGTTTGATGTACTCCAAAATTTACAGTTAATTATACCAAGTGAAGAAAATATTTCTTTATAAGTCAAATTTTTTTGTTTCTTTGTAGGAAAATGCAATGTGGGTTGATTTTTTATAACCTGTAGTACAATATTTATACGATAATATAACCATAATTGTAGCTTAGAAGGGCATTAGAAACCTCATTATTAACGAAACCATGTTCCATAAATTTTGAAATTTAACCTCTAAATATATGTTAATGACTTAAAATATACCTACTAATGTTCTTTTTTAAGTAAGAATTAACCCTTTTAATCATACTTAATTCGAGTAATTACTTGGTTAAGGTACCTCACTGTGTTCATTCGTGCTTATATATAAAAGCAATCGTGTCGTTTAAATAATTTTCATGGCATCATCCAAGCCCTTGATGGAGAATCCACGTGGCAAAATCCTAACACCTTAATGAACGACTCCCTCCTCGTATGAAAACATGTCCATGTTCGCAGTGTCTGCTGCGCATTTTCTCAATATTCCCTTTGCCTCTCCTCGTCACTCGCTGTAGCTTCCTAGCGAAGAACGGCACGCCAAAACATGGAATCCCTGTGCTTTTCGGCACAGAAAATCTAATGTCCTCGCGAATAGATACGTGATTCTCTGTCTCCCATGTCGGTCAATCGCAAAGAAATTTCGAGCGACATGCAGACAAGAAGTCTTAGCGAAATATCGGAGGTAGACACCGTACGGGTCGGTATGGATCTTGTATCGGCCGCGCGGAGAAATATCGGGCTAATGAGGACTGTTAGAGACTGTCAATGGCTGCAACGGAGACCCGTAATCCTTGAAGCAATCAGGAGGTCCGCTTCGTTTCTTCTTTCTTTTTCTTTTTTTTGGCGGGTGGTCTTGGGACTTTAAAAGAAGTAATCTGATCAGACGATGGATGCTGAGTTTTGCAGGTATGATGAGCTATGGATGCCGTTGATTTCCGATCTTACTGTAGGGTCAACCCCTCCTATGGTTCTCCCTCCAGTCGATGTTGAGTGGGTTTGGTTTTGTCATACGCTGAAACCGGTAAGCTTGATTCAGTGTAAGCCTTTACTCTTTCTCTTTTTTAGCCTGCTTTAATGTTTGGTTGCCGAGAAAGAGTGGAAAACAATGAAGGAAGGAACTTTTTTGTGACGGGTATGAAGCTTTGGTTTTGGTATTCTCGTTTCAAACGTTTGCTATCAAGATCTTAAAAGTAGTCTATGAAAATTTTAAGCTAATACATAGCTTATCTTCTGAAAAGGAAGAAGGAAAAAGGTGACTTCTTGCTTTCGTTTCCTTTTATTTTTTCTTTTTAAAAATTTCCCGACAAGCAAGCAGAATGTTTAAACAATAAAACCCTCTAATCTCCTTCTCTTTCTTTACAGCGATTAACAATACTGTTATTCAGGTGGGTTACAGGCAATATTGTGAATTAAGGTTCTCGAAGTTGATAGGGAAAGCAGCTATCTTCGATGAAGAAAACGAAGAGTACGCATTGATGAGATGCAGAGAAATTTGGGAGCGTAGATACCCAAATGAGAGTTTTGAGAACGAAATCGATTCAAATTCTCAAGACCCAGTTGTTAAATACGAAGATCTTTACAGTGATGTGATGAAGCAGAGGGATTTGTACTTAAAATTTTCTGCCCCCTACGTGTCTGAGATTGTTTATCTGATAGCAGCAAGACAAAGATATAAAGGGTTCTTGCTGATATTGCAGAAATTCACAGAGGAACTTTCCTGTTTCGTGCCAACCTTGGATATATTTCTCATGTGGCTCACCCATATGGTGTGTGTTAATTTCTGCAAATTTATCTCTGTTTATTCTCCATTACTGGGTTTTTAAATGTGTTCTACCTAATTTTTCACTATTTGGAATTGAAGGGTGTTTTTTTGTTTCTTCTTCAGTTGTTTTTTTATGATGATTGAGACATTTTATGTTGGTTTAAATTTTTGGAAAAATTCGTTGAACTCTATTATTTAGCATGATATCAGAAAGGTTCTAAATTCAACTTTAAAACCCTGCACCCTTCTTATATTTTACCTGTTTATTTACACCTTCTGCTTCCGGTATTAACCTTCTCTTTTTCTTTGAATCTCTGTTTGGTTTTTGTTTTTGCTCACCGTTTAATTTTCTGCTTTTCGGGTTTTGACCCACTATTTGCCTTCTCTTAATCAATTTAAGCTTTTTATCGAAATCAATTTGATTTAACTTGCTGCTCTGTCAATTTACGTCAAGGGTTAGTTAAAGGAGTAGTGGGTGGTAAAATTAAAAACTCTCCATTTGTCCTGTCTTCTTATGCCACATGAATTTCAGCTTCCTTCTTCCAATCAATAATTATTGGAGAAGAAAAGGAAAGCAACCTGACCATTTTCTTTATAAAAAAAAAGTCTTCTTTGATGCTTACATTTGTATGAATACAATTAGTGCTCCACATGATTGATGACTCACTATCTCAAATTCTTTTTTTCCCACTTTTGTTGTATCTAGATTGTTTGGTTGTCTATGTCTTACACGTTTACTTCCCTTGTGAAATTTGAAGAGCTACCCAACAGTGTATGTGGAGGACTTGAAGGACATGTGGGATGATATGGGTAAGGTAGTGGGGCTGTTGGGATCTATGAAGGAAAAAGATATGGAAGAAACAAAGGAGCTTTGGGACAGATGCTTTAATCAACCTTATGAGAAAGCTGGTGGCGGGTTAGCCATGGGATTAAGTGATCGGTCTGCAGTGAATTGCCCGGTTTACTGGGTTGAATCTGATACAGATGTAAATACCAAATACAAGTCCATGCACCCTAGGTTCCTCTTGGAGGTAATACTAAAAGACGGTAATCCCAGGTAGAAAACATACAAGGATATGTAATAATTTATGTATCTATTGGTCACTCTATTTATTACTATATAGTTATTGTTTAGAAGCTAATACTCGTACATGCTTTGAGTGAGGGAGTAGAACGATCTGCAAGTCAACAGAGCTCATAATTTGATCTGATGCAGCTTTATTAACTCTTTAAATAGTTTCTTTATTCTGAATATGAATAGTTAATTACCATCAGTCTTTATCATGAAATCTTATAGAATCTGAATCTCTAGCATTTTGACTTTTTTTTAATTTTATCTTGATAATTTCTTTAGTGGGAGAATAGTATATTATAGAAGCCAACTCGTCTTTTGCTTCTTTGTTTCCATCTCTTTATATATATATATATGTATATATATATTTGGGTGTGTCTGTCTATGTTTTCATAGTACCAAAGAAGCTACTGATGGTGATTCTGGTGGGTTTAATTAGTGGTTCATCAGATTACTTGGACACTTGCTTTGGTAACTTAATGGAATTAACCCTTTCTATAGATTCCTTTATTTTTTTAATCAAATAAAGAACAAAAGACTAGTTATACTAATTTTTCTTTTCCTAAATTCTAGTTCAACGAATCATTATCTCAAGATGTAATTTTATAACTTGATTTAAAAGTCAAGGATCATGGATAACCTTGATATCTTTGCATCATCTAAGTGGGTTCTAAATTTTATTCTGATCAAAACGAATATTAGTAATTGTTTTGTCTGCTTGCCCCGGGACTGGTATGGTGAAGCTTTTTGCACCAGGATAATCTGGAAGAATGAAATTATTGAACTTAAAAGCTTGCTAGATTCCACAGCATTTTATCTACAGTTAGTTCTGCAATATTTTCAGAAACTATACAGATCTGCAAAATTGGCTCATATGATAGTATATGATCTTAATTATAATGCAGGTTTGTATATTTGTGAAGCTCAGCTCCAAGATGAAGTCAATGCAAGAGGATAAGAAACGAAATTTTTTGCGTCTGCGAATAACAAGATGTCACAGGGAGCTCAAGCTTGATAAACCAATCACAAACTTTTCCCACAACAAATGGCTGAAAGCTTGGCACCTTTATTGTGAGTTTGGAACCAGAGGACTTGTGCTGGACCTACGTCATAGGGGTGGCTACTGCTTCAAAGGAAGCAAATTGCAGGGAACCATAGCATTTTCATGGAATGATTTATTAAGAGCACCTTCCGTTACTTCAGCGAGAAAAATTAACGAAGAAGTTAGGGTTTTTGTTTCATTAACTCCCCCAGTTCAAGCACCATACTTGCTGAAATGTGTACCAGACAGGGTAACAGATGATACTGGTGCTATGATATCTGATGTGATTCTGAAATTAAACCAGTATAGGCCTCAAGAAGGACGGTGGCTCTCTCGTACTGTTCTTGATCATGCAGGGAGGGAGTGTTTCATTGTCCGAGTAAGGTGCATTGCGCCATTTTTAATCTCTTTGCGACTGCATTGCCATCTGAGGAGAGATTTTTGATAGTCCTTGGTATTAATATCTCAAAATTTGGTTTTCTATGGCAGAATTGGAGGAGGGTTTTGGAGAAGAGGAGCTGAAACTCCATCGAATGTGAAGTGGGATGATCGGATAATAGAGATACGTGCGGGTTCTTGGTCTTACGTAGCTGGTTCCATTGGTAGAGCTCCAGGTATGTAGCTTGGAATTCTCATATGATAATCTGGTAATAGAATTAGTCAGGGAGACAAGAACTAAGGTTGAAACTGTGTAAAAAGACTAAACTTGGAATTTGTTTGGTATATTAAAATTGTCATAAGCTTTCCTTTTCATGTTCAAACTGAGTAAAAAGAATATAAAGCTTAAAACTTCTAATAATTTTTTTCCCCTTCTCGAAGTCCAAATTGAGCCATTGCTGCAAATTTTTATAAAAGAACTAAGTTTCTTTGTTGCTGTAACACAGTTTTGAGCATACTGTTATCGTTTCCATCTAGTGCAGAGAAAGTGATAGCAACAGCGTCACCAAAAGAACCTCCAGACCAGTGGCAAGCCGCATGGCAATTCTCAACAGGAGATGAACTTATGATAAGATGGGAGTCATCGTCATCATCCTCAGGCCTGAACTTCTGTCTGATAAATCAAACATCTACTGATTCATCGGTAAGGTGGAAAAAAAAAAGGGACAAGCATATCTCCAAGTTTAGTTTTTTTTTTTCCAATAATGTGATTTTAGCATGAACCGAAACTTTAGGTGAAGTTATTGAGAGGTCGGAAAATGGAGTATCAAGTTAAGGATAATAATCAAGAGAGCGAAAGCAAAGAAAGTGAAGACGACGAAGAGGAGTTTGTGACAGTGGTTAGAGTGACAGAAGAGAACCCAGATGGAAAAGCAACCGCCCTACTGAACTGGAAGCTCCAGGTAGTAGAAGTTCAGCCGGAGGAGGATGCACTTCTGGTGCTACTACTAAGTGTTTCGATGCTGAGAAGCATATCAGAGATGACAAAGCAAGACTTAGGCAGTTTGTTGATTAGGAAGAGATTAAAGGAAGCGAAAATGGGTTCTAGAGATTGGGGTTCAGTAATTCTCCATCTGTCTTCATGGCCATCATCGTCTTGCATTACTTCACCTCATCTTCAACCTTGGTACTGGAATTCTAATGCAGTAATGGCGCGGGATGGGAGAACAGAGAGTGTGACAAGGCAACCTGGGCTTGATTATTCACCAGTTGAAGGTGGTGATAGGTTCTACAAGAAAGGAATCTTATAACATGAAATTCCCCAAGGCAAACTCAGATTTATATATTCTAGTTGTTAGCATAGATGAAAATGCTTTTGGTACCAGAGCTTGTTGTTGAAGAAGTTTAGTGATATGGTGCGTATCACTTCTGTATCACTTGCAGCCACCTGTTAATGCTCTACCGTGAAGTTATCATGTGCTCTGTTATGAAGTTGTCGTACTCTGTTATTCTATTATGCAGCTATTACATTTGGTTATAAGTTGTTTTTCAATTTTTTTTTACATGTTTTTCAGGTTTTACGTATAAATAGGAGTTTGTAATTATGGATCATTAGATGATTTATTTTTTTATCATCAATAAAATAATTTTGTTCTCACTATACATCATTTTTCTGAACTGTGAAAACTTGAAGAATAATAGAGGTTGGAGGAAATAACAGAGAAGTTAAACTCAGATTTGGAACTATACCAGGAATGAGAGCTACTACTCATGCAGATTCTCTACATCCGCATTCATTCGGCAATCCAAGTACGATATTAGTCTTTACCTTGTTGAATGAAGATAACTATCTCATATGGAGCAGATCTACGAGGATAGCTTTAGAAACGAAACTCAAATTAGGTTTTATAAATGGGAAATATAAGGAACCAGTTGACGAAAATACAGAGGAGTATGAGCAATGACAAGATACATATTTTTTGGCGCAGTCGTGGATTTTGAATTCAATTTCAAAAGATATAGTAGATGCTTTCTTGTATACCACATATACTAAAGATTTGTGGGATGAATTGGGAGAAAGATTCGGAATCTACAATTGTCTATTGTGAAGCTCTTATGTACCACATTTTGTTGTGGATCATTAGATGATTCATTTTTTTTTATCATCAATTAAGTGATTTTGCTCTCACTATACATCATTTTTCCGAACTTTGTTCGGTCGTGTCGGAGATGGCGCGGGCTTAAGATTCTGAGTTCGATCCTTATCTTTCGTAACCTCTAAGGCAAGAAAAGATAAAAATAAAAATAAAAAATAAAAAATAAAAATAATCCCACTTGTTTCAAAAAAAAGAAAAAGTTGGAATTAAAGACTAATTTTTCTTTTGCGGAACAACGTGGGTTCAATAATTTAGCCCCAGACAACTGCATATGAATTTACTCTTTTAAATTTAGTTTTATTTTATTAATTCTTAATTAATAATTTATTTTTAAAAAAACTTTAATTCGTTTTAATAAGATTTATCGTTAATTAATGTAAAATATGTTTGCGCAATCTGTTCGATTTATTTTAATAATTCACGTTTGATCCGCTAATTATGAAATAATTATCGGAAAAATAACGCAAGTTTATTTTTGCAAAAAATCAAAAATTACCCTCGATTTCTAATTTTTTTTTAAAAAATTAAATTAAACAACTAAAATATTTTTGACGTAATAAAATATTATATAATTTTTTTTTATAAATAATTATTAAAAATTTTACCCAAAAAGGAATAAATATTTTACGTCGTATAGTTGACGGAGCTCGTGAATGACTGATGCCTTTCCCTTACAGGACTAGACAACAACAGTTGGGCCAGCCCATGGGCCCAGGGTAAGAGGCCAGCATGGCGCGGGTGCGGGACCCACCCACGTAGTCCACGTCATCCACGAGAAATATCGACGGCTCCTCCTCAAATCGAAAACCCAGATAGGTACGGTCGTTGCACGTTAGTGGGTCCCGCTACAGCAAGTCCGCACCGTACACAATTTAAAAAAAATAAATAAATAATAAATAAATAAAATGATAATTCGCTGAAGTTGCGGTACAGATACGCTGCAAACATCAACAGATTCTCTACTTTTATTGGATTCTTTTAACACTGACAGAAATCACATCACCGTAGCGCCACGTGTACTCTTCCCATCTCATCACCGTTGATTGCTCGAGCCGTGGCGGCATCGGACGGTGACAAACCCGGTCTATGGTCGATTCCGTGCTCTCTCATCCCAGTTTAGATTCTCTCCCGTACTCGGACGACATTTACCTAAAATTTTTAGGTTCCCTTTCGCCGTTCTGGATTAGTTCGCGTAATGTCCCAACAGCCATCGCCCAATAATCTTGCGCCACGTGGAAACGTCGAGTCAACAGTAGCGTCACGCGAAACATGATCTCATCAAACCGTGCCTCCTCTCTGTCTTTCTCTCGGCTTCTCTTATCCGTTCTCCGCTGCCTTCTGCAACTACTAAACGTCGTCGTTTATTGTTTCACTCTCTGCGACTCTTCACCTAACAAATAGCTCCGGTTCCTTTCCGGTCTCGTGCTTTTCATATTCCGACGAATTATTCTCCCAAAAAAAGGATATAACGTTTATAGAAGCAATGAACCCGACCCGGAAAACCCGTTTCAGCTTTATTCGGATCCTCTGCAAGTCTATCCACCACCCTCTCCTCCGCCTTCGGGTCGTCTTCTTGTTCGTCCCTACCTAAACCAAAACCTCGAGGAATCAAGCGAATTTTCTCTCCCGAAATATATTCAATAATAGAACAGCATTTTAATATTAATTTTCTCGACTCGAGGAGATTACAACCTTAGTTGCTGAATATTTTTTTTCAATGTCGGGGCTTCCAATTCTCTCTGTGTTAACGGAGGATCTCCTCATCCGGATTCTCGACAGACTCAGCTCCGACTCGGACCGCAACACGTGGCGACTCGTCTGTAAGGACTTCCTTCGTATCGAGTCACTGACTCGCACGTCCCTCCGAGTCCTCAGAATCGAGTTCCTGCCGAATCTGCTCCGGAAGTACTCTAATATATCGTCTCTGGACCTCTCGGTTTGTCCCCGTATCGACGATGGGGTCATGTCGCTGCTGCTGAGTCGGGGCTCTTTGAGCTGGGCCCGGGGGCTGAAAACCCTGAACCTGAGTCGGGCGTCCGCGTTGCGGCCGAGGGGGCTGGAGATGGTGGCGCGTTCGTGCCCGTCACTGGAAAGCCTCAGTGTTTCGCACTGCTGCGGGTTCGGGGACAGAGAAGCGGCGGCAATATCGGGGATCACCGGGTTGAGGGAGCTGAAGATGGATAAGTGCTTGAATGTGACCGATGTTGGGTTGGCGAAGATAGCGATAAGGTGCGAGAGGCTGGAGAGATTGAGTTTTAAGTGGTGCATGGAGATATCTGATCTGGGTGTGGATCTTTTGTGCAAGAAATGCCCGGATTTGAGGTCTCTTGATGTGTCTTATCTCAAGGTTAGTTTGTAGCCTCTTTCCTTTCTGATTCAATTTCTTTTCTTGTGCTTTTTTGGTCCTTGTTTGGTTGGTGAGAAAACCGGAGGAAAGAAAAAGTTAATAAGCCTCGAAAGTTGGGAGTGCGAAAAAAGAACACAAGTTCCTTTTACTTTTTTATATGTACTTCCTTCCATACTTTTCTGAGTGTGTGTATGCTGCATTTGGCTAATGAGAAAATGGTGAGCAGAAAGGAAGGAAATTGGATTTTTGTTTATTGAAAATTTTCATTTATGAAACGTAAAAGAAGATGATGCAAAGGAAACATGGTAAATTTAATTCGTTTGGCCAAGTTAAAGAGAAGTCCAGTTAATGGAGTTTTTGCAAAGTATTTGTAGGAAATTTTTATAGAAATTCCAAATCTTGATTGGAATCAATCAGGTAACAAATGATTCTCTCCGTTCAATTGCTTCTCTGCTGAAACTGGAAGCTTTAGATATGGTGGCATGCCCTTTGATTAATGATGCTGGATTGAAGTTTCTTGAGATTGGATGTCCGTCCTTACAGGTATATTTGTCTTTTCACATACCAAACTACTGGAAAATGAAGACTATTGCTTCAGAATTCAATTACATTTTGATTAATCTTCACCGAAGAATTACATTGTGATTAATTCATACCAAAATTTCTCCAGGCAATTGACATATCTAGATGCGAACATGTCACTTCCTCTGGTTTAATATCTGTAATTAGAGGCCACAGCAGTCTTCTACATCTCAAAGCGGGTTTCTGTTCTTCAGTAAGTGATGATTTTTCGTCTTATGCTAATTTCCTCGAATTCGGGTGATTTACTAAATTGTAACCGGGTCTTGCTCCAGGAATTATCTGGAGCTGCTCTCCGGCATATTAAGGAGTTGAAGAATCTGCATACTATAATAGTTGATGGAGCTTATGTTTCTGGTTCTAGTTTCGAGATCATAAGTGATATGTGCAAGTCTTTGGTAGAAATTGGGTTGAGCAAGTGCATTGGTGTTACCAATTTAGGTATAATGAAACTTGTACCTGGCTGTGTCAATTTGAGAGTCCTTAATCTAACATGCTGTGCAGCCATCACCGATGTGGCGATTTCTGCTGTGGCTGAGTCTTGTAAGAACCTTGTATGCCTAAAGTTAGAATCTTGTAATATGATCACCGAGAAATGTCTTTACCAAATTGGTTCCTGCTTAATGTTACTTGAGGAGATTGATCTTACGGATTGCTCTAGCGTTAATGATCAAGGTAAGATCTAAACATAAGCGTAATTATTGAAAATAGATTTTCTTGTTTACAAACATGTTTTCATTTTGATGCGTTACTTGACTCTTTATTGATCCATTACAAGTACGTATAATCTTTTTCAATGTAATTTTTTTTTTCGTCTGCAGGACTAGAATATTTGTCTAGGTGTTCTCAACTTTCATGCTTGAAATTAGGACTTTGTGCCAATATATCAGATAAAGGGCTGTTGTATATTGCTTCTAACTGTTTGAAGCTTCACGAACTGGATCTGTACCGGTAAACTAAGTTTGAGATTCATTTTTTTAACGGATAATTTACTTTACAGAAGCTAACTAGTCAAAAGATTTCGTTTATCTGGTTATTTCGGGCTCCAGATGTTCGGGTATTGGAGATGGCGGTTTAGCTGTTTTGGTCAGTGGTTGCAAGAAGTTGAAGAAGCTCAACCTATCGTACTGTAATGGCCTCACTGATGAAGGGATGGAATATGTTGGCAACTTGAGAACTTACTGAATTGG